ATATATATATATATGACTAGTCCTAGTCACAGTTGGGTACTTTCTGAGATCCTTGGCACCTGAGCATGGAAATAAACTCATCAGGTAGATTTTGATGGTAATGTTTTTCATATCTACTAATTAACATGAAGTAAATTAAAAAAAATTTTTAATGACTACATCATTAGAAGGAGCATTTCATTACAGCTTTAACATATTTAGTAATATACTCCAGAGCAAGAGTACATCTCTTTCACAAGTGGCTGTAAGTTTCTAGGTTCACAGTTGAATTAATACAGTTATACAATATTGAACAATGAGTTCAATATTGAACAATATTGAACAATGAGTCTTTCTGCAAGGAACAATATATTCTAAAATGAAATGGAGATCTTTTTTAAAGGTTAAAAACTCATTCAATTTTATGTCTTAAAGTGGTGTTTTAGCAGCCTTTCCTGCTGTCCTAGGGCTTCTTCCTAAGAACTGTGGTCGTGATGAGGGTCAGCTAACCAGGTGGGTCATGGACACATGGTTATTATCATTGCTTTATTATTATCCTTGATCCTGACCACACCAGAGGGAACTGTGACCTCCATGTCCTATTTTCTGGGTGGTTCTTGGGAAGCACAGGGCAGGACCACATTTTAGAGAGACTTAACATGGTCTGGGAGCTCCTGGGAAGGCTTCCCAGAGGGAAGAGCAATGAGGCTGACAAGTTTACTAAAGGCACCGCATCAGCAGTTTTATAAGCACTGCTAATCACCATGGTATTGTTTAGTGCTCATCAATGTTTTAAGCAATTATTGGTTTTTACTTGTTATATTTATTTACTTAGCATAAGATTCTAGGAGGTAGGTACTGTTAGGGATTGATGCCTAGAAGAGTAGGTAGGCTGTCATAATAAACCCAGAGCCAGGAACAGGATTTGAACTTAGGTTTACATGGTCAATGTTCCTGTCTTTATTTCATTATTAACAGGGTGTATGTGTGTGTGTGTGTGTGTGTGTGTGTGTGTGTGTGTGTGTGTGAGTATAGGCACATACACGCTACAGTACATATATGGAGGTATGGAGGTCAGAGGACAAGTTTCAGGAGTCAGTTCTCTCTTTATATGTGGGATCCAGGGATCAAAATCAACGCGATCAGGTCTGTATAGTAAGCACTTTTACCCACTGAGGTGTTCGTTTTGAGAGCCCAAAGTTCCTGTCTTTAAATGTTCCACTTGAACACTGGGAGAAGCCCCAAGACGGTCAGGAGATGAAGGAAGCAAAGTGCTCACACCTGACCTAGGAGCTGACAGGCAGGAGGCAGGCAGATCAGTACACCTGCTCAGCTCCTATCCTAATGATAAAATGTCCAACTGAACTTGGGCATGGAAGCATTTAGAGTTCTTCATCCGCATACCAAAGCTTCTAGCCTGAACTCACCTGCGTTCTTGAGCCCACCCTGTCTCCTGCTTCTACTGCTTTCTCTCACCTTGAAGTCAGCAGTGGCCACGGCACTACAGATGCAGGGATGTGTAGAGTGCTTTAGGAAGAAGGTTTCTGGCTTACAGTTCCAGAGCAATGAGCCTTCTCCTGCCTCTGTCCCCCACCAGAGCTGCCCATCTGAGTTGATGTGGACTGTGGGGCACTGACTCCACCCTCCAAACAGAGCTATCTGCTTAGGTGGGAATCTGGCTGCAGAGTGAAACTGTGTCTTCAGCCTATTTCCTGCTGTTCTGTCTGTGGTAATCAGGAGTTGCTCTTCCGTCCCCAGCCCTTGCCAACCAGGAACAACAGGTGAAGGAAGCCACTGTCCTGAGAAGTAGAATCAGGTGACAGGAGATTCTGCTGTCTGGCTGCAGAGAAAGCTGGGCTGAAACAGTTCAGAGAGTCAGCAAGAACGAGACCTGGCTGGGATACGAGGGAGCAGAGGGGCTGGAGACAGAAGAAGCGCCCGTAGCTGCTAAGATGCCCTGTCATAACCGTACCCTCATTCACAGACTCCAGGACCCCTCCCATCCATTCTTGGTGGAGGAACAGGGGATCCAAAGCACCCAGGACTGTGGGTGGTGATCTGACATGCTCACGATGGAGCCATCTCGCAGCCCTGATATACGTTTTCCACATATTTCTCTACACCTAAACTATTATTTGCTTAGTGTTTTTAAGACACTAGTCACTGCCTGGCACACCTCGGTCATTTCATTAATGCTTAAAGGAGAAAGATAACGAAAGTAAAAAATAAAAACAAACATCCATGGCACTAGCAATGGCAGTGGCCACATTCCTCACTGTGCCTTTAAGTGAAAATAAATCTCTCATTAATTGCATCAAGCAGTTCCTGGAACTTCTTAGAAACTTTAATACCAACATAGAGGGCGTGGGTTGTTTGCTCAGCTGTCCCTGTATCTCCAGGGTGAGGATTCCAAACAGATTGAAAGGATGTGTTGAAGTGATGTTCTTATCAAATTCCAAGCCACATCTGTTACCCAAGAATCTTCTGGGAGAGCTGATAAATAGCAGATCTCCAGTGACAGCAAATAAAATAAAGAAAAGTAGCCCACAGACTCCCAGCCGGAAAGTCTGTGGTGATGAACTTTGCTGGTAAATCCCAATGGCAAAGCGTGCCCAGCATCTTGGCCTGTGCGCACTGATGGCTACTGCTCTGTAGTGGTGAGTGTATAGATTTCAGAGTTAGAAGACCTGGAACATAGTTTAAGGTCTGCCATAAGCTAGTGGTGCAACTTTGAGAAATTTGCTTAGCTTTTCTGAGCCTTGGTTTCCTTGTCTGTAAAACGGGGGTGCCAAGAACCCTCATCTCTGGGTGGTACTGAGGGAATGCCATGAGCCAGAGTGCACACTTAACTCAGCATGTAAAGTGCACACTTAACTCAGCACCGTGTTTCGCAAAAGATGAGTACTTAACACCTGCATTGGACTTGCTTCCTAGGGTTCTTTTGACAAAGAATCAAACACCAAGTAGCTTCAAATAGCTAAAATGTATTCCTTCAGCGTTCTGGTGGTAAGAAGTCCAAAGTCACTGTTTCGGCAGGGTCGGCTGCTGCTGAAGACTGAGGGGAATTCTGCCCATGCCCCTCTCTCAGCTTCTGGTAGCTGCCAGCAAGCCTTGGTATTCCCTGGCTTATAGAATCACCAATTGCTCCAATTTTTGCCCCATCTTCACATGGTGTTCTTCCCTGTGTGTTCTGTGTCTGTGCCCAAAGGTTCCTCTTATAAGGACACTAGCCTTTCTATGGCCCACTCTAGTCAAGAGTGACCTCATCGTAACTCATCACTTCTGCAGACCATATGTTCAAGTAAAGACCTAAGGATTGTCATAAGTACCAGTGCTTATAACGTGAACATTTCTTTTGGGAGTCGGGGGGACAGGGCCACAATTCTGTATGCTACCGTGCTCATCCTCAATATCATCTTTGTTGAGAAAAGTCCCAGAGGACTGTTGGAAGTCCCTGAACACAGCGCCTGTGATTGCTTCTAAACAGCGGTTTCCACTCTTCTTGTTCCCAAGCTCCACACACACTTGATGCTCCACACAAACAAATGATACCTGACAAACTCAGGTCAGCTCAGAACACTCCACCGTCTTTAGCTCTTCCTCCATCTTCTACATCACACAGAGCAAAATCCTTCTCTCAGGTCTCTCCCTGCAGGGCTTTTCCCAGATACACTCAAGCACCTGGCCTCTGACCTCCTGAGGGCGGTCACATTCCATGGAGACCTCAGAGGGGTCCTGACCGCCCCCACCTTCTCTAAGTATGAGCGCTCACATCACAGATACCCCTTTGTCTTAATCCACAGCACTTTTATTGTGTGTGTGTGTGTGTGCATGCACATATGTGTGGTGTATGCATGTGTGTGCCTGTAGCTGCACACACCCATCCACAAGCTGCACTTGTGGATGCCTGAGGCTGACTTCAGCATCTTCTTTTGTTCTCTACCTTATCTGATACAGGGTCTCTCGGTGAACACAGAACTTGACAGATCTGAGTGGGGAAAAGCAGCTACAACTCCCTAGATCTGGGTCACCAGATCTGATTACTCAGAGCTTTAATAGATCTCAGCATTATTTAATGTGTGCACATGGCTACACTCAATCCATATTTCCCAAAGAACTTGTGCAGTGTTCAATACTATATAACATAAACAAGTGAATTTTATGGCACATAAACTATACTTTAATATAGGTAGTTAAAGATGATTTTATATATCTATATAGTAAATACCTGTGTATG